TTTTTTTGTGGGGCTATTTGAAATCGCGTGTGTACACAAACAGACCAGGTGATTTGGAAGAACTTAAAAACCGTATTCGTTTTGAAATAAATCAAATCGACCCGGGAATGCTTGAACGAAGTGTAGACGGCGTTTACACACGCTTAGGACAATGCCAAATGGTACAGGGTGGGCAATTCGAACAATTTCGCTAGACTTACACAAACATTAGTGTAATTTTACTCGTTTGAAATGTAATTTTGTCAACTTTGTCCTTTTCGGAGCCATTAATAGTGTAAGTAGACAATTATCACTTATAAGAACATAAGGTGCATTTTTCTAAAAAAAAATTGTTATGTAAGACATCGAAATTTTCACACCGTTGTTTAGATAATTATCACTGTCATCAATTTCGATCGAAAAAAATATGCGTTGTCATTTAAAAAAAAATTATGTCATCGCTGCCGTAAGTGGATTATCGAAAAAAAAAAAATTCCACATAACAAGGTGTCCTGGATAAATAAAAATCGACGGGTCTCATCGTTTTTCGAAAAAAAAATTGTTTAACGAAAATATGAATTTTATGCAGAACTTTTTTACCACGCTGTATACGGCAGGCTAGCCGGGAATTGAATTTGGATAAATTTGCCGTTCAACGAAATTTAAAGACCAATGAGTATCATGCATGACTACAAAATTCATAATTTGGAGTATTTGCCTGAGCGTCACATTGAAAACAGACTTACTTTTATAGCTCAAATTGTAGTAAATGTAGAAACTGTTGATCAGAACCTTTTTCGGCACGTTCTTTGGACGGACGAAACTCGATTTCTTTGTAATGGTTTGCCAAACAGGCGTAACGAGCACTACTGGTCCATTGAAAATCCCCACACTGTAAATCCGGTCCAAAAACCAAGCTCATTTTGGAGTAAATGCGGCATCATCGGCAAGCATTTAATTACTCCTTATTTTTATGAACATACAGCGTGAGTTACCTAAATTTTCTACAAGACGAACTTCCTGAACTTCTGAAGAATGTGCCTTTGCAGCTAAGGAAAAACCTATGGCTTCAGCAGGACGAGGCTCCACCCCACAAGGCCAGGATTGTGCAGCAATATTGAGATAATATCTCTCCCAGAAAAATGTATTGGGCTTAATGGACCTATTCAGTGGCCCAGAAAGTCACCAGATCTAACAACCCTCGATTTTTTTAAAGGAGGGTTTTAAAAAATAAAGTTTACTAAATACCTTCGCGAGATATTAATCATTTGAAAGAAAAAATCACAAACGGTTGTATGAGCTAAGCGGCGAAATGTTACTAAACGCAGCCCACAAAGAAGTCAGGCGAAGATTGGATATGTGTCTTGAAATGAGAGGAGGTCATATTCAGCCCTGAGGCACATCTGAGGTTGACAAAAATTGGATAGATACAGGGTGATTCACTATATTTTGACATATTAAGTGTTTTGTTTTAAGAGTTAAAACGTAAAATACAAAAGTTGCACGATTTTTTATGAAACTTTCGGAAATGACATTTGAAAAACAAATGAAGTCCAAACAAAATGGCCGCGGATGTTAACTTTGTTAATTTAAATGGAACACCCTGTATATTTTTACATATTTGGATAGAACGTTCTCTGTCGACCATAGTCATATAGGGTTTATTGGGTACATCTCTAACAATAAGCAAGATACTATTAAAAAAGAAAAGAAGGTTTTTTATTAAGAAATATGACATCTTGTAATTGTTAGACCTCTTTCAGGCATTACTGTCTTTTTTCCAATGACGTAAGGTCCAAAATGCGTATAGGTATTTTAACTAAATCTAACTAATTAGGCTGTGAGAGGCCTAATTACTCATGGACAATGTTACATTGTAGGCCGTGACAGTGACAAATAATGTATGACAACATTGTTATTGATCGACAGTTTGTATTATTATTTAATTAAAATTTGTTACACAGAAGTAGAAATATTATTAGGAATTCAAATGGAGTAAAGATCTTCTCCATAGGTACTCCATTTTAATTCCTAATAATATTTCAATTTTTTACTACTGTGTAACCTATTTTAACTAAATAATAATACAAACTGTCAATCAATAACAATGTTATCATGACATTACCTGTCACTGTCACGGCCTACCATATAGCATTGTCCATGAGTAATTAGGCCCCTACGGCCTAATTAGTGAGATTTACTTAGAATACCTATACACATTTTGGACCAAATCAATGTCCGACATGCCAAAATATATTATAACTAAATCTGTAAATCCTTACGTAATTGGAAAAAAGGCAGAAGTTTCTGAAAGAGGTATAACAATTACGTTCTAGACAAATATGTAAAAATATACAGGGTGTTCCATTTAAATTAGCAAAGTTAACATCCGCGATCATTTTGTTTGAACTTCATTTGTTTTTCAAATGTCACTTTCGAAAAACTCATAAAAAATCGTGCAACTTTTATATTTTACATTTTTTTATAACACTTAAAACAAAAAAGTTAAAAGGGGGGGTCATAATATAGTGAATC